CAAATATTAGAAAAAAGTAAAGTGGTGGAAATTAATGAGAGTGCCAACAAAGCATTTCTAGTGTCGCTTATATTTATTATAGTGTCTAGTTTCCAGGATATTCAAGCAAAATTTGTGGAATGAAACCTATAATTTTTCTTTTTGCACAAAAGTGTATATTTTGTCATGTTTTTACACACATTTCTAGGCAATTTCTGAAAATTTTGCAAATTATTACATACTACTCAATCCTCAATGCAATTTTCTAAAATTATGAAAATAATAATCAACAACAAAAACCTAAATTTTTAACATAAAATTGTTCGAGATTCAATATTTGTAAACCGCTGATTAAATTGGTAAATGCGAAAGTAAGTATGAATGAACTATTAAGCAAGTTTAAGAAATTGAGAAAATTAAGACTACATCATATTCTAAAATTTTATTTGAAAACTGTTTTTTCTGTTTTACTGAGCAATGTAACTATGATGACAAAAGGTTAACAAAAATAAAAAAATAATAGCAATAAAAAGAAGAGTACTCATATTTTGATATTATTTATTTGAAGATTGGTGAGCTATTTTATAATAATTCCAAATTTTAACGTAGCTAAGATGCTTTTTTTGTGTTACTTCTGTTACACCTTATATTAGTTGTAATACAACTTTTGAATTTCTTTTTCAAAATTCAGTATTTTTAGGAGGTTTAGTTCAAACATTTGCCCTAATTTAATAAAAAATAGAACTCAGGTTACTATAACATTTATGAATACCACCCAATATCTAAACTTCTTGTGTAATACCTAATAGCATTTAAAACAAATGTGAAATATCTACAAATGAATTTTTAATGACCAAATTATGAAGCACCCATTCCTCGAACATTTTTAAACTACTCTCCAGTTTATTTCTAAAATGTCGATGTTGAAAATTCCCTGTATGAAAGTATTATTATTTTTATTAATAAAACGGTCCCAATGTCATTATTTGAAAAGCCTCAAAATAAATCTCAAATTTAGTTTTTTTTTTTGACATTAGGTACCATAATCTATAATCCTTCCTTTTGAACAACAGAGAAACACCATTACCACGGTTGACGACGCATTGAGATATTTTTTATCAGTGCAACATGAGCCGCCACTGTTTTTCTAATCCATTTTAACGTTACAATGGATTTTGAGTTGACAGTTGCCGCTTAAAATTTGACATATTGTTTCCATTTAGGTAAGATTTTAGGATTTTTTTGTATGATCCTCACTTGGAGAATTGCAGTTGGCAACGCTGCAGCTTACTTGTATTTTTTTATTTATTACTTCTTTCTGTAAATAAAACCAAAAATGGTACACTATTGAATCTGTTCTCTTTTTTCATTCCATTTAGATTTATATCACATTCTTTATGGGCTGAGTATTTATATATCACACGATCAAAAAAAAAACACAAATCGGCTTGTGTAATAAATGTCAATTTTGACATTTCTTATTGCAACGTAACGTTGAATAAATGCTCACATGACTGATCATCAATCATGTTCTTGCACCTAGCCTAGCTTTAATAGCACTATAATTATAATAATGTTAAAAACGCCACATATCCATCACTTCAAAAGTGAACATAAAATCTCCTATCGACGTAACGAGTTTGAAAATAGAGTTTTATCATTTTGCAAATTTTCCTGTAATTAATTAAATTTAGATCTGCAATAAATTCATTGGCGCCGCAAAGACGGAAAAAATACAACCATTATCACTAATGTGCATAATTTGTTTTTACAAATATTTAAACTAATCTTGAATTATCGGTAATTGCGTACAGAGTTATCGCAAATTTAATAGTTCATCCACTACAAAAATTAATTTGCTACTAAAGATCAAAGCAACCAATTTTGATTGTGAAATACAAATATAAGTGTCATGTTAATATTTGAATAGACGCATCCACCATATTTGCCCAAGTGATAATAAATTCTTGTGATAGTGGTGTCTTGTACGTGATGTCAATCAGGCATAGCCACCCGAGACGCCATCATTTTTACCTTTCTTGGAGCCAGACGGTCATAAAACCATAAAATATTTCAACCCTTACAAACCGTGTGTTATTTTGCAAGAAATCAACACAGGAAATAATAATAACATTGATTTCCCGACATTCGCCTTTACCACACACTCACTTTCATTACGTAAGCTTTTACAAAGAAACTTATTATAATAATTTCAATCTCAATAATACGTTGAAGGTTACCCATATCCACAACAATTTACCCATAAATGGTCGCAATTATGTTTTTTGTTTTGTCCGAACCGACAATTAAATATAAAATGTCACTTTTTTCCCCGATACAGTGTTTACAACAATAAAGCACCATCGATTTCTAGTTGAAAAATGAGATTGTCTCGCTTTCCACATGATAATAACCCATAATAGAAAAAAAACGGTACAATCGTGCCAACAATTACTGCAATTACTTCGTCAACAATGATCGAAAGTTTTGTTGGAATTTTGTTTTACCTGTGTTACAGATAAAGAGACAGACGGAGAAATGAGTTCGCTGACCCAAAAAATGTCAAAAGTGATAGAAATATGACCGGAAATTGTCCAAACTCACAACTAATATTGGCATTTTATGGGATTTAAAACAGTGTTACCATACAAAAGTAAAATTGTGTCGACACGGGTTTGTTAACGACGTAATTTGGTGTTCCACAAAATGTCAAATTAAATTAAATTTTGTCTAATTGTTGTGTCACAAATAGGAGTTCTTGTAAAGAAAGTCCAACAATTCTTCAATTAAAATGTTAATTGGAGTGGCCTGTGTTCCTGAAATTAAATTGGCAACATTTATACAAGAAAGAAGATAATAAATTGACGTGTGTCATAGTTTCGTTTCTAGCTTATTCAATGTTGCCAACTTTATTTCATCATCACAGTCTACTTTGATTTGAAATTTAATTGCATGTGGTCTGACAATTAATACGGAAACGTCAATCCAAAACCATTCCTGTCAAAAAGAATTGGAAAATATTGTTTCACAGATACAAACCATGATAATGGTATTTCCCTGTAGTGGTTGTCTACAACAGGTATAAAACCTACTGTAAACATCATACCTATAGCGATATGGTTTTATTAACTTTATAATTTATCTTTGTAAAATCCATCTGACCTGAATTTTTTACATTGTCAAAAATATAGGGTTTAGGAGACCGGAAATGAAAGTACACCACCCATTAGTTTTTGTTGAATGGTCAGCTTTAGGGATTATGAAGGTCGAGGAATGTCTGCATAAACTGAACAAGAAAATATTTTCAATTTTGTCTGAATAATATAATATAAAATTTTGTAGTCAAACATTACAGCTAAGTTTCTATTTCGCTACCAACTGTTGAAAAATTAAAATTGTTTAATTAGAGAATCAAATTTTACCACCAACACCACACTCATAAAAATAAATCTACTTAATATTAATAATAATTTATCTGAATTAAATTTAATCAATTAATATGGAAACGCCACTTTTATGTAGAAATTTATTAGAAGTTTGGTCTTGATTTGAAAAGTCCCGTAAATGGTGGAAGACTTGATTCACCCTGTACATGCAGGGTGAGTCTTAATGTATACGCATAAACTTAGGGAATAGATAACCCTGGCTTTAATAACGAATAGTGAAAAAGAATTCTAGTAAAAGTTTTTTAGTTAGGTACTGAGATATTGTGTCGTAAAAACACTATTCAACTTTTAAATTTTAAATAATATTATTTTCACCAAGATTATGTCTTACTGATTAACATCGACTTCTTTAATTTGACATTCGATGGTGACAATGAAAAAAAGTTGTAAGTAATGAGTAAAATGCAATTTTTGTTTTCTTTATGGAGAAACTTAATCCGATAAATTGCCAAAAAAATTAAGACAACTTTAGTTTGATTTAACTTATTTTGCATTTTACTCATTATTTTTTTCATTGTCACTATGAAATGTCAAATTAAGGAAGTTAATGTCTACCACTATACCGAGCTTGGTCAAAATGATGATATTCTTATTTGTATTATTTAAAATTTAATGGTTGAATAGTGCTTTTATGACGCAAAATTTCAATAACTAAAAAACCTTTTACTCGATTTTTTTTACTATTCGTTATTATTGGGCAAGAACTATCATTGATAGTTCTTAACTTATATTGAGACTCACTCTGTATGTACATACTGTCACGCGCGTAAAGAATGATAATACTTGTATATCACTGGTTTACTTAGAAATATGACACATTAAGAATTAAAGTGTAATTACCAACCTTATAATTCGATTGTAAAAAAATTAAAGCAAGATTTTGGCACGAATTTGTTTAATAGAGATTAATGAGTTGTTGAACTTGTTCATTTTGCGGAAATTGATCTTTATAATGCCATTACAACTTTTATTTAAATATTTTAAACAAACAAGACGTGAAAAAATGTAATTTATAAGTATGTACGTATGTTCAAGTTTTTCAAGTCGTATTTTGCCATTCATAAAATCATTGAGAAATCTGTTATGTTTACTACGAGTTATCTGTGACCTTTAGCAACATTTTCAATCCGTGACGTCCAAAACCACGTCCATCGTACTACCAAAAACAGATTTTCTTAATTTTTCCGAAGCCTTAAATGGAGGCCATCGAGGTCGAATATGAACCAATTATCTTCATATTTACGCAAAAAACCTGTAGCAATTACATCTCAATCGCGTCCAATTTGCAATTATAATGAAAAATCAGTTCATCCCATAACGACAAAATAATGAGTGTCCCGTGAAGTCTTGTACAAAGCAGGGCCATTAAGGAATTCCTAACGAACACGTGTTCAACACAACAACCCTAAAGACCCATTTCGAATAATAATTCACTCGGTTATGTCCCAAGAGCTGCGCAATATTTTGTCGGAATCCCAAACACCTGTTACAAAAGTCGGAAGAGAAAAACAAGAATCAAGGCCAATGTCGATCGTGGTCATTTTTAATGATTTAATGATTTTTTCTTGTCAACAGGGGACCTTCTCGTCCGAACTGGCAACGACAAGAAATGGTGGCCCCGAAGGGCTGTTGTCAGAAACGGCCAATTGCAAATTTCCGCCATCGAAGATGCTCCAAATGTCCGACTTCCATTGAGACATTTAAGTCTTCAAGCGGGAGCTTTGCCCAACAGTCTTTCATTGTGTAAAGGCGAGGATGTTGTTCTGACAATTCAGGTAATTTAATTTTGCAAAAATTATTTTATTCAACAGTGCCATCCTACGACATTTCTTGAATTCTAACGTGATTTGTGACGGTTAGAAGGACACTGTGCTTACTCAACGCATACTTTCCTTATTAGTAGGTCTCAATCGGACCAATTAGTTCTTTGAAACAAGGGAAGTATCGCAATAGAAACTTGTATGGGCTGATTGAAAAAAAATCGAATGACAAGTGGGTCAGCAAAAGCAAAAGTCGACATACCGCTTGACTCAATCTTTTAAGTAATTTACATAAAAATAGACAAAGCTGACAAGGATTATACAAAAGTTTTTAACTATCTTTAACAAAGAATTACATTAGAAGAAAACATTGCAATCGAATGTAAAGTGTGGGCAATTTTGACACACTTTTAACATATTTTATAAATCCGATTTTAAATATACAATTTTGTAGTAATTTAGTTGAATCATTGTGATATTGTAAAGTCTGTTTTTTTTTAATGGAAATGCCAAACAGTCTTAACGTTGGCATCACTAGTAAATTTATCCATGGTAATTTTAATAAAGGAAGTTGGCAATTCCGGTTTTTTGAATTAATTTGAAAACAATGTCATTAAACGTCAACACAAAAAACCGTCTAAGAAAATTTAGAGACGAAACACTAAAAAAAGGAACAAATTTGGTACCGCTAACAGTTTTTCGAAATTTGGAAACGAATAGTTTGCAAGCAGGAWGTTAGAAAAAGGGCCCGTTAAAATGTAGACGCAATTTGTAATGCAGGTTTGCTAAACATTCTTAATTTTTAGCAAAAAATTGACAAGAATACCAAATAAACGTGAATGAGAAAGAACCTCGGAAAGAACGCAATTAAATTAGTGTCTTGTGCATCGTTTTTGAGGAACGAGTTGAAAAAGTAACAGTTTTGAAACAAAAGCTGAAGAAGAATTTATAAAATGCATCAACTTTGAGCTCATTTCAATATATTACACAAAATTTATTACCAATCATCATAATACCCACTTGTATCTTTTGCTAAATAACTTTTTTCCGTATAAACATCCTTTTTTTTCAAAGTTTTTGTAGCAAGAATCTCATTTTTGTTCACAACATTGTACTTACTTGCGGTATGTTTCTATCAAAATTATTAGCACTGAATCCTGTCTTTAGACCTTAGATAATGATGTCTGTCCTCAGGTATTCAATTATAGCGCTTTCAAAGAGCAAACGGGCACACAAGATTCATAAAAGTCAAAATTTTGACAACATCTCAATTTGAACACATAACCACAATTTTTTAAAAAAATTTCTAGGGACAAAAACAAAGAGCAAACAAAATTTGTGGCTATGGAGACAAGCTGCTACCAATTTTTTCACCAAAATTTTGACTTGGTAATTTCCATTTAAAAAAAAAAAACAAACTTTAAGTCTGTGACTTTTTATATCGACTAAATTAATGATTTAGTATTGGCTGCACTGTATTGGTAACATTAGATTATTTCAAGTGTTGCCAATGTCAGTGGCTCCCAAAATTAATGACAATTCACTATAAAATTTTAACGTTTGAATTGATTTCTGTGTAGAAGAAGAATTTGAACCCTACTGACAAATTTTGAGCCAGAAAACTCTACTTTTTCATATCAATAAGTGACAGCAATGGCTGTAGTCATTGTGCCAAATTACGATTTCAGACTTGTGGTTTAGGTACTTGATGATAAAAATCACAATCATTTACAGTCACGCTGTAATTTCTATCTTTACATTATTCAGTGTTACCAACTTATTTCAAAATCACAGGCCACTTTGATTAGAAACTTATCATGGTACAATATTTTGCAATTAACCAAAATGTAACTTTTAATCTTAAGTAATTAATAACAGTATTTAAAAGATTGCATGAGTATACTGTAGGTACTCATAGGATCATTTTCTCATTTAAATATAATAATCAACAACTGTTGAGTTTTCTTAATAATAGAATTCGACAAAAATGGTAAATGCCCACACATCTATATAAAAAAATATGTGGGTTTCGTATTGAAGTATTTGTTATTGCGCTGCTGACTGAAAATTTTGTTATCGCGAATATTGAAATATTGAAACCACGTTTCTAATTCGGAAGCAGGAAATTGTCATACAGTTCCGTCTCTCTAACTAACATCAGATAATTAATTAATTAAGTTTTCAACGTTCCAGATTGTCTGCTTTCATACATATATCTTCAAGTCAAGATTTCTCTTGAAATACTTCGAAGATCTGAAAATGTGTTACATTACTTCCTCCTCAAAATAATTAAATTGCTTAAAGTAATCAATCAATCAATCAATCTATTGTTGTAAGATTATAGGGACGAGTATTTGATTTCATTTGAATTTTCTATAGAATGGTTATTAGGAGTAAAATTAAATTAAACAGCAATAAAATTTCAGTTTAAAAGAAAAAGATTGTAATAAAACGTACAAAACAAAAAATACAGGGTGCGCCAGAACTCGCGTCCCAGAGAAAAATGCCATGTAAGGTAAGATACCAGGAACATAGAAAAAATGTTAAAAAAATTCTATCTATAAAAATATCGAAGTTATGAGAGTGAAATTTTGCACTTTGACTCAATTTATTTCTGTTGGAAAGATAATTTTTCAAGTTTTTGTGCGTGCTACAGGCTATTAGAAGATGAAACAAGGAAGCTGTATCCCAAATTGTTTAATGTTATTTGTGGCTTTTATTGGCAAAATTTTTGTACCTTTAGTAAATAATTGTAAAAAAAAACATCCCTACCAAATAATAAAAATTTGTTTACATTTTTTTTCAAATTTGCAATTAAAGACTGGGTAGAAAAGTTTTTATTAATAACAAATGATTAACAAATTTCGCTGTCAGTTTTCATTCCATAGTGATCAATCTTGACTTGATTAGCATACAATTCTCTCTTTTATCAGATTTTTTTAGTTGACAAAACTTGAACCTGTCATCACATGATACAAGTAACATTCATAACAGACGACGTGTTATTTTATTTATTATTATTATTAGTCTCAAGACAAATAAATAAAATAATAAAAAACAAGTTTGTGCTTCAGAAAAGCTTAAGAAATAGTTACACAAAGTGATAAAAAATGAATGAATCTGTTGGCAATCCTGATACCATTAGAGTATGCTTCTGATTAACATGAATTTAACAATCTTGGGGGGTTGTACATCAAGTATTTGTCAAGCAAAACCGTATCCGGTTGCAGTGTTACAAATTATTAACAAAAATACTTTCAAATCTGTTGCAACTTCAACAGTTCTAAATGATCACGCTGTATTACAGTATTTTTGGAGTGCATTAAAAGGAAAACAATTTTAGAAAATGTACATTTCCAATAGTGTAGTACTATATAATTGTTTTATCTGAATGAGCAAGTATGTTGTTGCACAATGCTAATTAAAAAATTTACAAAGAAGATTTTATATAACAAGAAAATTGAAAGTTTAATTTGTTACACTCAATGACTATCAATCCATCTACCAGAGGATCACATAACATGTGAAATATTTGTTTACTTTATTGCATTCTTATTATTATCTAATAATTATTATTTAATAATACATTCTTTTATTTATTCTTTGTTGTTTTGATTATTTATACCACATCAAATTGAAGTAGCAATACAATAATTTATACCTATTTAATTTATTCTGTTTGAAGATCAAACAGGTGTTCTTCATTAAATTAAATTGATTTTTACATTCTTCTGTTACACGCGATTAAATGTTTTTTATTTGCACGAGTTATGGATTCTTAAGCGTGACATCATTCATCACAACCTGTCAGGATTACCGCAATTATTCAAGAACTTTCAATAAGTAAACAGTTTCACTTTTTGAAACAAAAAATTAATAACACTATTAATAAAGATTTATGCAGACAAAAGGAACATACTTATTGACAACATTCAATAAAATTCATTTTATTGTGTCTATTCAATGTAGGATATAAGGTTGGAAACGTAACTATTTATTCAAACTTTCAACCCTGTTATAATCGCATTTCAATTTTTTTTATTTAAAAATGTCGACTAGTAAAAAAAGACTTAAGGTTATATAGTATAGGTAGGTATACCCCCAGTTGTCCCAGCGAGTTGGTAAAGTCCACTAGTGACCTTTAAATAGTGAAATTAAAAAAAAAATGTATACAACATACTAATAGAGATACTAATCTAGTCTATCGGTATCGCTTAAAATTATTTTCAACTATACAGCGTGTCCCAAAAATAAGTTACAATACAAACTTGTGTTTTTTAAACGAAACACCATATGTTTCTTGGCATTTTTCGACGTAGATTTTTATGACAATGTTTTTAAGCTAATTATTCATTGATCGAATTTGCTCAGGTTTAAAAATAAAACGGTTTTTTTGACGAAAACATGCACTTTTTAAAAATTTATTACACAAAAACAAAGAAATCTAGAAATATTTTTTTTATTACCACAAAGAAGAAGGTACAAGCTATAAGGTTGTAACACTTTTTTAGTGTGTTGCATTTGCAAAGATAAAAAATTAAGGCGTTTTTTTTAAGGCGTTAAAAGTTCAATAACTTCAATTCAAATGGAACACGTACCCTATTTATTGTTTTTGCATAAAATTATTTACTTTTAGGTGTTTATAATCATTAACTAAAAAGAAATTGACGTTAAACTTAAAAAAAAAATATTATTGTTTCAGTAGCCAAAAAGTGCACAGTTGCACAAGATATGGAAGAAATATCACATAATAATCACATTTATTTTAAACTGAATCCATTATTCTTTATTTTTACAATAAAATAATTCGAATTTCAGTATTTATGTCGACTTTTACAATTTCCGGATAAATCAACGGATAGACAATTTATCAATCTATTATATGCAAAAATAAAAAATAGGGTGTTCCATTTAAATTTTTTAAGTTATTTAACTTTTAACAAGCGTCTTAATTTTTTACTCTTTACAAATGCAAAACACCAAAAAATTGTAACAGCTTTAACTTCTGTACTTTCTTCTTTGCAGAAATAAGAAAAAATTAGTTCTTGCTGTCTTAGTTTTTTTTATAATAACTTTTTCAAAAGTTGCATGTTATCGTCAAAAAACCCGTCTTATTTCTAAAACTAAGCAAAAACAACTAATAAAGCGTAAAAACATTGTCTTACAAAGCTACATCCAAAAATGCCAAGAAACATATGGTGTTTCATTTAAAAAAACACAAGTTTGTATTGTAACTTATTCTTGGGACACACTGTATAGTTGAAAATAATTTTAAAATGGACATAATGAAATAATCTCAGGTCTATTGTGTATACAAGTTGTTTCAGAGATAATTTAAACAACTAGCTTCAGTGCTACCAACAGAAATTAAAATTAAAAGTAAAGCTCTTGAATTTTTTTCTGTTACTTCTGAAACATCATGTATGTTACGTTTTACGGATTCTTAATGGGCTGTATTTAATAAAAACATATCAAACCGATAGCAATGACTTAAGAAACTTTCAATAAACAACAGTTTCACTCAACGTTTTCCAATTTTTACATAGAAAGTGGCATTTGCAATAGCGCAATTCAAGTAGGTAATCGAAAAATCGATAATTCTTTTGCAAGCAATTTAGCAAAAGGAAGCGATAATTTTAATTAAAGATGTAAAAATGGTTCTACACCCATTAAAGGACAAAAATATTATATAGATTTGTAAAATGAGTTTTTCTGGGAAATTTTAAACACTTTTGTAGACTAATGTTATGAAACATTCTAAGAACTACAAATTATTTTTAACATTTTTTTTAATTAAATTTAGACAACTGGACATTTATTGTCCGTGACAATTTCAGATTTACAATTGTAAATTAATTCTTTTTAGCAGGAATATTCAGTCTAATTTTTCTCGTTCCAAGAAGTTATGACGATTCACTTATCGCATATTTTTTTTTCAATTAAAATAAGAGTACACAACGCCTTTCTTATTAAATCAAATAAAATTCTTGTTTTTTTTTCAGACTGCCGATGAGCGATCCTTCGAAATCTGGGTAAAAACCATCGCCATCGAGCTGATCCGCCAAACCCCCCTCGAAGACGTGAAATATTTGGACATCTTCACATTGGCCAGCTATTGGGGCCGCAAAACCTCCAAAGACTGCAATTCGAACTACATCGAACCACCCGTAGAGAACCCATGCGCCGTTTGCGTCACCAACATTGAGGAAAAGAACATCGAAAATTTGCTCAAAAAGTGTCAAAACGCAGAAAGTTACGTACCGGTCAAAGAAAAACTCATTCTATTCGAATCGTTGTGTAAATTAGGACGCAAAGTGCGCAGTACTGAAGATGTTTCATGTAAAGCGGCGAGCGGAACGAAACGTGCGAGATCCATGCACGATTTGTCTAATTTCAGTCCGCAAAGTGCCGTTCGCGAAATTTGTAAATATTTTGAAATCAAAAGTGAGGCTAGTGTCGAGAAGTATGGAACGATTGCGAGGTTTAACCGATCCGATTCGCAACTAACTGACAAAAAACCGTTCTAGGTTACATATTTCATGTTAATTTATCTAATAAAGCATTACTTTATATTTTTAATGAGTTTTATTTTATTTATTTCAGTACAATGATTCTGGTAGTTGGTTCGAGCGTGGCTTCTTGAGTTTGTCCAGATTTTTCAAAAAAACATCATGTAAAGCACAATATTGGTTTCTAATTTCAGACATCACCAAACAAAAGGAGAGATATTCCCTCTCGTCCAACTCCTGGACCGCTCTTTTAAAATCCTCAATCTCCGGGTATTTCAAAAAGTTTTTAATCACTTTGCCTCTTGTGGTAAAATATTTCGAAATCCTTTCGTAGAAAACCGCCGCTGAACTCTCCACCGCTTGCACCAACGCAAGCGTCTCTTCTTGTATCTCCACGCCAAAATTATTCCCATCTTCCATTTTCGGAATCATGTAAGAAATCCACATTTTCATAATTTTCGCATCTTCGACTAGCTTGATCATGTGAGGCTTAACATTTTCGATCAAGTCGATTAAACATTTGTTTGTTTGGAAGAAATGACTTTTAATTAGCGAAGAATTATCAAGTCTGGCTTTTTTAACTGGAGGTGTTGAAGTATCACCATTATCCGTAACCGGTTCGGAGTCTTGGTTTGAGATTATGGCCATATTTTGATGTAAATCACTAAAATCGCGTTTTTTGAATTTCGGAGTCGAAATCAAAGCGTTCAGTTTGAGAATTGTTGAGGGGAAGCCGGTCAAGAGGAGTTCCTCGGCCTCTTTCTTAAAACGTTCTTTGTACTGGAGAACTTTCTTTTCGTGCTGTTGGGCCATCATTGTTGAGTCGTGCAATTTAGAATTTAAGTTTCAAAATTTTTGACATGTTGCTGCCCACATGACATAACAAATGCCATTTTTTTCCCGTAATTTTTAATGCGAATGATATCATCAAAGGAAATGCTTAAACCAACTGATAGTGGCCATCACGAATGATGATTTAACCACTCATTACTCATTTTATTTAAACAAGATGATTAAAAAGCTTTTAAATTAGTTCAGAGCACTTGAACTTGTAACATCAAGTGATACAGCAAAACAAATGAAATTTACATTAACTGTTAAATTTTCTTTTAATAAAACAGTATAAAACAATAAGTTATAAATAAAGAAGGCAACGTCAATGTAAAATACTAATTTAGTAATTTGGCCTTTCTATTTAAAAAACGTACATACTTAAAAGAAATAATAATATTAATCAAATTCAAAGTTATGTAGTCAATACAATAAGTAGAATAAGGTACAAGCTAAAAGTACACATTTGGGCGTGTATGCGTCTTGGACAAATCCACTTTTTACGTTTGCGCGCAATTAGGCTCCGTCCAGGTGTGTACTCTTAGCTTTTACTCCATTCTAATAAAATAAAGTACTAAAAAATTCAAAATAGACATCGACATCAGGCAACCAGTAAAACACCAGCATACATGTTCATTTAATTTTTTAAATCTGAACTGGATTTTTCTGGGCTTAAAGTAGACTGAAAATAGAAACTTAAAACATACAAACGCACTCCATTTAAAGAAAAACCATTATAAATTGTATTAATGTTAAAAACAAAATACAAATTGAACAAATTTCACTTGAATTACAAAGATCTACACGACATGCATCACATATTTCACCTTCTTTAGTATGAACGACTCGACATTTGTCGTTGTATGGTACGCCTGTATCATCAATACAGCCTCGATATTCCTTCAGTTCACCGTCTTCCAAATTCAAAACTCGTATGCACTCAAAATTGTTACTGTTAGGCAAAATATCTTTACACACTTTGACTTGAATCGGTGGCGAACAATGATGCTCACAGAAATAACACTTTTCGACACTGTTAATCTGGGCACTGATGGACTGGAGAAAAATATACAAATAAATCGTATTATAAAGTTTCATTTGTAATAATTAAGATTATTTCAACTTATTTTGACAAATTCGTAATCACATTTGACATTTGTTACAAGTTACAGTCTGTCTTTAAACGAAAATCACCAAGTCAAAATTTTGTTACAAAAATTCTGGTCATGTGTTCATTTTGGAATGGTGTTACAATTTAGACTTTTATTAATTTTTTGTGCCTGTTTACTCTTTAAAAGCGTTGTAATCGAATACCTGAAACCAGATATCACTAGCTAACGTCTAAAACCAGAATTCAATGCTAAATATTAATAATATTAATAGAAACAAATTTTGTTTTAAAATTTGAATTTTTTCAACTCGTTAGTTTAATGAAGATCTTTGCCATTGATGTTTATTTTGTATTCTCATCAATTTCTTGCTAAAAATTAGGAAATGTTTAACAGACTACATTACAAAATTTCTACATTTTCTTGTTTACACACTTTTCGTCTCCAAATTTCAAGAAGTGGACCCAATTTTTCCCCATTTTAGTATTTTCACTTTTAAATTTTTTCAAACGACGTTTAATGACATTGCCAACTTCATAAAAATATATATAATTTAAAATTACTTTTATAAATGAATTTGTCAGTGATGCCAACGTCAAGACTGCTAAACTTTTCCTTAAAAAAAAACGATATTTAGGTTGTGGTGCTTCTATTTTTATAAAAACGGGATTGGTGTAAAGCTGGGTACACACTACTGTAATGTAATTACATTACAGTAATGTATAGCCGCCGGTTTAATTCAATAAAACACAATGTTGAAAAATTGCAACCAGTTGTTTACTATCCCAACAATATTCTTTATGAAAACTTGTGAAATGTGCTATAAATATAAAATAAATAAGATTGGCACACTCAATTGGTCCTATTCGATGTGCACTATTATGTACATTAAACACAAACACGGTAACAGTAAAAAACGTTTAAAAACTAAGTACCAAGTACCCTAACCTGAGCTTTAAAAAATACAAAAATATAAACTAACAAATTTATCACGATTTCATTTTGAAAAGAGAGACATTCTAGATCTAGTTGACTTTCCAGCCAATCCCGATCAGTTGCCTAACCACAAACCAATATTGCTCAAAAAAATATTTAAAAAAAAACGCCCTAGCTATCCTTCTCAATCAATTCCGCGTGTTCCAATGAATCCAATGTATCATTTGAACTAGAGTGCGTCAAATCCGTCAATTCGTCCAAATGTTTTTGTCTTTTCCTCACGTTCCAATGCAGACATTCAGCCAATGAATCGAACCAATCGGAAATCTGGTCTTGTGCGCAAATACTCGGCACCGGATAGATCGACGTTGTCACACGCAAACTGTCAAAAAATAAAACAATCAAAAAAAACAAATTCAAAACCGACACCACCACCACCACCGGACCCTAAAACATAAAAAATAGACACACCTATCGCCAGGTTTTAGTTCCTGATGATGTCGGCCGTCGAAACAGACGTACGACGAACATCTGGCTTCAGCATTAGGTGTTATCTGGAAAAAAAACTAACATGAACGACACGACAGAGGGCGTGGCGGTGGCGGTGATGGTAGGCCGACTTGACAGTGAACCTACCTGTCACCGTGCAAGAGCTCTTGGCGGTTGCGGCCGTCAAATGATACCCATGACGTATTACGACTGTCGCGAGAGACAGATATCTAGATTAACGACAAAAAAAAATTGTTCAAGTGGCCCAAAAATACGTTACATACTTATCCCCGCCCACCTACCTTCAACTCCACCCCTGCCGGCACCACAATTGGTCGGAAACTCAGCGAATGGGGACAAATGGGCGTGACCATGATTGCAGGAACGCTGGGATGAATCATCGATGCGCCCGCCGCCACAGCATAGGCTGTACTTCCCGTGGGCGTGCTCACGATAAGCCCGTCCCCCTGCACTGAAGTGATCAATTTCCCATCGAGAAAAAGATCTATATTTGAGAGATAAGGCGACGGTCCTCGATCGACGACCACTTCGTTGAGTACCAGGAGATTCGTCGGCTGTTTGGTCGTCTTCTTCTCGTCGTCGCCCTTTCGCATCACAATACATCGCAACCGACTTCGAAGCGTCAAAGCGGCGTTGCCCTCGAGGACGTTGTTAACTTGCTCTTGAAAATTGTCGAATCGGAAAGGTGTGAGAAAACCCAACGAACCAAGATGGAAAGCCATGACTGGGGGTACAGACTGCTGGAAAAGGTGGCTGGCGTAGAGGAGGGTGCCGTCACCGCCAAGACAGATAATGAAGTCGATTTTGTCGGTGAGATCGTCTTTGCCGTCGCGGAAAGTCATCAGTTTGTCTTTGACGGTGGCAAAAGAGCTGTATTGGTCGAGGAGAGGGTCGTCGAGAACGGCGGCCTCCACAAAAACAAGCATTCGCTTTTCCTGGAGAGAGCCATAGAAAAATTAATAATTAATACTGTATCCACATCAAAAAATTGAAACACCAGTTTTTTTAATTTGTAAAACGGTCTTTTTATGTTATTGTTTCAGAGGCGTGCAATAGTATATTACTTATTATTCAATAAAAAGTTACCAACTGTCCCACTTCATTAATTAAATAAATCTGCAAAATTTTCTGAACCTGCTTCACACATTTTGTGACACGTACTATTGCGGACAAAATACTTTGGTCGTCAATGTCACTTCGAGTGACAAAGTAGTAAAGCAAGCATTAGGATGGTTAACCTTATTTTTTACTACTGTCAACCATTGTCCTTGACTGTCTATGTCTGATTTATCATTGCAAAATGTTAAATACCGAATGAGAAATTCCAGTGCGAAAAAATTGAAAAGATTTTCACAAAGCAATACAATTAACGGTGCCATATTTTTGACAAGAGCAAAGTCAATAATTTGAAATTGTTATCAATGATGACTTGACGTTAATGCTTGGTTTACATGTGACAGAAAAATGATGACCAAAGTATTTTGTCTGCAATAGTACCTCTAATTTAAAATTGAAAATAAAGTTTACCAATTGACGTTGATGACGTTTCTCTATGTCAACAAGTCAACATGACAGAAAAAACTTGATTGCAGACGTTAGAACCTTTAAAAAATTAATATTTGAATTATACCTATCTGTTGGTGTTTCCATTTTTTTGACGCCAACAATACCACAGTCTTAATAAATAATTATAACAAAAAATCTATTGACAACACTGAATTATTGATGATATTTAATTTTTTCAAGTGATGTTCGCCTCTCGAAACTAAGTGACAATTGACTATAAAACATTCATACTTAGGATACAATGTTGCCAAAATGAAATGTCAGATTGACAACAAAATTCACAATTAGAAACTTCTTTCTATCTCTCTGCAACCTACATTATTCAATGTTGCCAACTCAATTTGAAAATAACAGGCCACTATGTTTAAATATTTAAATTTAATTGAACGGATAAAAGAAATAAATAAGTTAGTATAGTTACGTAAAACCATGACAATTAATAACAATACTAACGAATCAAGTGTGCTTGCTTACAAATAATTTAATTGGTCAATTAGTTAAATTAATGCGTATCCAATGCAAAATAATTTTAACTATTTTAACTCTAATTAAACAATGATTTTATTAAATAAATAAAATAAAATAAATCAACACACTCGAAACCAACGAATTTTTCTAAATTCAACTTATCGCCCTACCACAAGATAAGACACATGTTTTCATATTTACACACAGCGTGACCATATCGTGTGAAATTTATCGAAAATGCAACTAAATAACTAAATACCTCTATGAGCCATTGAACCAACTGCACAAACGGCAAATGAACCGATGCATCCCTCACTTTTTTTATCACTAGGACAGTAAGTGGCGGTTTGTACCACGTCAACCTTTGACTTGCCGGATCCTGGATGGTCCTGTAAACACAAACAATACCATTTTCAAGGCTAACCATCAATCGATTTATCAATCACAACGTCCGGCTTTTGCGTCACGTTTGAAAAATTTCTATTTGAAAAAAAAAACACAAACCTATACTGAAATTTCACATTGTTATTGTTGTTGATTTCTTCAGCGAAAGGGACGCAAACGACGTTCCCGTTAGCGACCATTTCGGAAAATTTTACCACCGACACACTAATATCACAGTCTAAATTAATACTAAGGAACGAGATCGACAAAATGACTAGAAAACACCGCGTTTTGGGGCCATTTTTTCGGAAAATCGAGGCAAAATCGACCGTTTCGCGGCTACGGATGTGATGTTAGTGAAATTTATTTGAATGATGAACGCACGCACAACTCGCCTGTCGACTGACCTCCGGCGGTATCGATAAAAAAATTAAATTATCCAGGAACGTATTAAGGCGATTGCAATTTAACCACTGTTCATTTAATAAAGTTATGTTTCCAATTTTGATATTAGTTGAAACTTTTACCAATGATAAAAATTAAACAATGTGATAAATGACTAAACAAAATTTTGAGACACGGTTGTTTGCTTCTAGAACAAGTTGGTTTTATTTTTCGTAGTGATGGAAATTTTGATTTCAAAATCTGGTCTTCAAGAAATTTTTATTTTATTTGTTTAAATCAGAAACCAAATAAAAAAAAAGGGGAAACAAAATTTCCTCTATATTTTCCTCCAGTGATAAGAGATAATATTCATTGCTATCTACAAGTTTTTTTTTTAATGACGTAACAAACAAACATCTGTCTGCATTATTTATTATTATTATTTATGAAAAAATAAAACATGTTAGAAAATACCAGAAACTAACAGTTAGTAAAAGTAAACAAAATAATTTGAAAATACATACAAGTTGAATATACATATTTTTCGAAGCTTAAAAAGCAAAAACACAAAAAGTACACCTCATTTTTTTTAGAATATCTGATACCAGAATTAAATACAATACAATCGATCCTCAATATTCATTCTTTATGTAAATAAAAATGCTGAAGGTCAGTAACAAATAACGTCAACTTATTCTAAATTTAAAACAATTGAAAAAAAACGTCACTTGTTATGCAGAAATTAAATATTACATTACGTTAAATCCGTGCTATAATATACTGCTCCACAAAAGTTAAGGAATGCAACAAACAAATTTTATTCTTCTAAGCATTATGGAATCCATCAAAAACAAAAAAGTAAAAAGATATCTGCCTTTATCTTACTTTTAATTAATTATTGATTTATTTTTTAATAATTTATTAATTTAAATAATTATTGTAATTATTGCACACTTCCTTAACTTTTGTGGAGCAGTTTAGTATGATATTTAACGAGCACAAAATGGAGGTTATAATTATTTCAAGAGAATAAAGTTTACACAAATCATCTGTGTGAATTATAGCCATTATGTGCGAGTCAAATACGACGTTTTATCTACGACCTTTTTAAATAAAACACTTTCTACGTACAAAATTTATATTTATTAATATAGATAGGAAAGTACTTATTCGTATTATTAAGAATAGTCATATTTTATACGGTATTTTATAGAGACACTCGACAACCACATTTTGACAACCGCATCGCACCAATCGCACCAACTCACATTTTTACAAAAAAAAAAAAAAAAAAAACACCACCGTTTGCATAAACACTACTTATGAGAAGAATAATGTATACATAAAATTGCGTAAATAACAAACGTATTATTTAATGGTCGTAAGATAAAAATTTTAGTACGACTGTACTTTTTATTTTTATGAATTTGTGTTGGCAAAAACTCAAAACGTAGATTGTTTATTATTATTTTGGAAAATTCATCTTTCCCCAAATTTGAATATATTGTAGATAAATTCCCAGAATTTGAATCATCTTAAATTATATTTTCCCGAAATCTTTAATAAATCTCTTTAGATGCTTCTTTTCATTATTTTTGTAACTCAGTGATTCAGAAAAGAGATTTACATTAGAGTTGAATCATATATTCAAACATCGTAGATTTCAAACTACTTCTAGATTCACACAATGAAACAATTAACAATAAGTGAATAAATGAAAAAAATGCCTACTCACTTCCCACGCCACAAGCATGTGTAGTAGCGCTAAAATAGGTCGTGTATTCGAATCTTTTAAAAATTACACACTAAAATTATTTAAATCAAATAAGCACGTACTTTTTTCCTTGACACTTATTTTTGTACCTACTTGGTATAATAATTCTATTTATTTTCTACCATATTAAAAGCAGTCATATGTAAAAAGATTAATTATTTACGTATTACACATCCAAACTGAAAATATGTGTACATAATACTGTTTCAAAAACAAAACACAAGTATTAACTTCAAAACTAATAAAAAAATAATTTCTTCCCATTTTTCTATGGTTTTAAAACCTTTTAAAAGCATTTTGCAAATTTTTATCGACAAAAATATTTACCCTACAACTTTTAAATGACAAATCTAATTAGTAGTACACTAATTGTGTCAACAACCAATAAATGTAAACTTTTCCTTCTCAAACTAATTTACAAAAGCCAAATGTTTATGTTAATATTTTGGTCTCATAACATCATATAACATGCCTCTTTATTGTCTATTTGTATGTTTTTAGCATTGTTTAAACTCCAAACAAAGATTTTCTGGTAATTTTTTATTGAGCAAACGCTATAAAATGAACCCAACTGTAGTAATAAATACAATGCGTTTGATTAAATTTCTGATCAAAATGGCCTATGACCAAAAAAGATACATTTGACATGTGTCAAATTTCATATCTTGTGAGACTTTATTCTATTCAATGTCGCAAACTTAATTTGAGAATCACAGGCTACTCTAATCAAAAATTTATTTGAAAGCAAGGTACTTTTCTTCTAATTCCACAATTTATTTTCTAGCCTCATTCTCGCTACAAATTAAGGAAAAACTCACATGACCATTGCAGAATTCTTCATAATACGTCCACATGGCCCAAACTGTTGTATGGGCGACGGTGCATTCAGAGACCTCGTTCTCCTGCAAACAAAACAATAAAGTATAAAAATAATTATTTAAAAAATAACACAACTTGATGCTTTGTGATGATGATGAATCTACGAGACTCAAGCATCGCGAGAAATTATTTTGCATGACTAAAACTACAAGCAATCAATGCACTACTACTAAGATCGAATCTGCGGCCGAACTGTTTATTGTACAATCCAGAAATAAACGACTAAATGGCAAATGAAGCTACAAACTAAACGTGGACAAATACCATGCGATAAGACGTGCATGTGTAATTATGTGTCTTAAAAGATTAATTACCTACAGTGATAATAAATAATTAGTGACATAAAACAGGGATTTGCGTTTATATCATATTAACTCTAATACGATATGCAATTTAACAAATTCACTAAAACGTAAAATGTAGATTTCACTATTTAAACAAATGTTATAATTTCTAAAAAAAAACTTTTCTCATTTCCCAATTAAATTCTCGTCTATAAAAAGCAGTAAAATTCTCCACTTTAAACCCAAATTGGTGTTAGCCCTAGTGACTTAAAATGTTTGTTATTTGTTTTATTTTATGAATAATACGTTTGAGTGACATACAAATCTATTTTCTGAATTCCGCATTTAAAATTCTAATTTTAAAACAGATAATTTTTGCTTTTTTCAATCCCTATAAATTAATTCCGTTTCGTGTATTTTAGGACCTATTTTGAAATGACTTATTTTTTTCATTTTCCCAGAAAAAAGTGTGCACCGTGAGATTTTTATTACCTTTAAAAATCCCTATTTACTTAATAATGTAGATTTATAAAAAATAAAAAAAAAAAAGCATTCCGGTACCGGGAATCGAACCCGAGCCTCCTGGGTGAAAGCCAGGTATCCTAGCCACTAGACCATACCGGATTATATTTGACATTTTCCAACGACCTTTACACCATACCACCCGTGAATATTTGAGATTTCAAAATCTTTATTTTTATCTCACCGATTTTACCAAACTAATGTCAAATAACTTACGGCCAAGTGCCTGACCGTCTCCTGCGCTGTCTGAATTTGTGAATTTCCCCTTCGCATTTCGTATCAGAATCAGCGATTTTCTGTTTATGCAAACAGGCCAATCTGAACTCTAACCTTTCGGCTATCCTGCACTGGTGCAAAACGGACAAATCCACATCCGAACCGGCCCATAGTGATGCCATAATACGATATTGTAGCCTCTATTTCACCACTGTTATGAAAACTAGGTTAGGTCAAAGACTTTGACATTTTGGCAAATATGAAACAAAGTTGCGAACTGGGCACGAGAACGAAAGACTGAAAGGGGCACACTCACACAACGACGAGGAATTTTACGATTTCGAGTTTGTTATTACACGTCATTTTTGGAGAAATTTGACATATGACAGCGAATGACAGGTGACAGCATCAAAAATTAATATACAAATTTTTTTAATTTTCAACAAATTACGTATTAATAATCATAAACATGCCATCTAAGATTAATGATAATTACAATTAATTTCGAAACAATACGAGAAATCGTGTTATGTTAATATAATAATAATTCCAATCGACGTGAGTAATCAGTGAGTGAAATCACCTCTAAAAACTCTCATTTGGCCTAGACATACAATAATTATGCAACAAAACAATGACTAAGTGGAAAAAAAGTTGCGATGGCCGGGAATCGAACCCGGATCAACTGCTTGGAAGGCAACTATGCTGACCATTACACCACCATCGCACTTGTTAGATACTTTCAAATCACAACTGAAAAGTGACTTTAATTTATTTCGGTACTATTGCTGTTTTCCTGATAGTAAGAAGCTCAAAATTGCAAACCAGCGCTTCAGTAACGAAAGTTTTACTAGAAAATTTGAATGTTTTTATTTCATGTTTGCCTGCTACAAAAGAATCGAGAAATTTTACTCAAGACTATAAGTAAATATTGTTTGTAATAATAAATGGCATCAGGTACTTATAATTATTATCATAATGGGAATATTTTACTTTAACTACTTACATAACTTAGGTTTGCACTGAGTGGTCTCAAAATATTTTCAGCAAAGAACACTTTCAACATCCGGTATGGTCTAGTGGCTAGGATACCTGGCTCTCACCCAGGAGGCTCGGGTTCGATTCCCGGTACCGGAATTATTATTTTTTTTTGCTTCAAACAATTAATTATTTAATAATTTTATACTAGAAAACTTAGAGCAAAATGTACGCACAGGGTAAGTTCAATCGGTAGAAATTTTAAGAAATTATAGCAGCGATCAGAAGAAGCAAAGAAAATATAATTTAGATTCTGTGAAACTAAATTTTGAAATAGAGGGTTTAATCGACGGTTAGTTTTATTAACATTTTATGTACTAACTTTTAAAATATATCATTTTATATTATAAATATTTAAACGTAAAAGGTTTATCAGCAAAAATGTTATTGTAATGTCACGGAAATTACGTGTGTATGCAAAATATCAGCTTGTTTGGAAAAAAAGAGCTGTTTACCAGGCAAGTAACTTGGAGTGAGAGACACTAAAGAGCGAGTAAGTTGGCTATATGGTGGAGTTGGGCTCGATTAGCCGAGACCAACGTCTGATTTAGCCAGGACATGTTTAGGTTTTTATTGTCTTGTTTTGTTTTACATTTATGTCCTGATTTGTCTCGATTTAAGGACCAACACACCTAAGTGTGCGATTTTTTGAGATTTTAATTTTCAGCGAAAACAAAGTATCTTCAAATTAAAGTTTTCTTTTTGGCGTCAATTTTGATTTTGAATTGTCTGAAGTTGATCATCTTATGTTAGATTTCAGACTTGTGTTATATTTCAAGCGTTTTTAAACTCAAAAAATTCGTAAGTTTTTAAACTGGACCCAATAACGTTTTGTACACTTTTTTGAGTCTTTAAGATCACCATAAATGTAAAAAAACGTTATATGAATCGATTTTAAAGTTAATTTTTTTTTATTTTTGTCGACATATTGGTCGTTTTTGGCACCCGGAGCGGTCTATTTATAATAACTCCGGATTTCCGGTGATAACCGCTTATGTTTGGTACCATTGGAAAGAAAATTTAATTTTCTATCATATACAAAAAACAGTGTTCTGCGATAAATAGTTATCGAGAAAATTTCTGATAAACTAATCAAAAAAATGAATAAAATTATAAATTAAAATATTGCAAGTTTTAGCAAAATAAATTTATATTTTTTTATCAATGTATATACATATTTTATTTATTTTACCCTTAATAAAAAATAGTTTACTAGTATTTATGTTACGGAATTCTAGTTTTTTAACTTAATAATATGTTTGGTTGCATATCTTATTTTTGAACGAAACCTCCAGTGACGTCAATTCGCGCACATGTGATTGGTGCAAAGTTACGAAGCAACCTTCTTACTTAATTGAACTTTTCATACCTACTCTATGACCAATAGCTGTTATTTTAACTAAAATTTAATATGTTTTAAAATAAAAACCAAAATTTCAATTGATAAAGTTACTGACATTACTGAATATACATAGCAAGTTATTTGTTATAGAAAAATACATAAAATGACCACGTTGTACAATAAATATTCAGAATGTGAAAGTGTGTAATAGAAGGCGAGGGTTACAATTTATCGTCTAGTCTTAAAATGTATCAGACAACACCTTTGCCCTTAGGAATTGCGTAACGCAAAAAAAAAATGTGTTGAGAACTCCACAACACACCCACATAATCAAAAATAATGTAGGCGAATCAAAATTAGATTTTACGCTACCTACATCTAAATACTGGCCACAAAAACAAATCTTGCAACAATTAATTTACATAGTGACAATGAGTCATTCCGTTTTATTATTGTAATCCAAATTATGTTATAATTAGATTAGAAATTAATGACTTAATTGGCGAGATTTATTGGATATGCTGGAAGCAATTTTGGGTGCGGTGTTTAGCTATGAAACTAGATTGAAAGATCTGGTGACGTAATCAAATTTAATAAAAATTGTTGAAATAAAGTTCTTTGTTACTGGTAAATTCAAAATTTCTTTTTTTTTATTGATATTGTACCACAAATCAAATGTAAAAAAAAATATTATTACGCATTGAAAAAAAAAAGTATGCACTGCCCGGGAATCGAACCCGGGTCGCAAGAATGGGAATCTTGCATGATACCACTACACTAGCAGTGCTGTGACTTTTGTTGTGTTTACTACAATACTTGAAGACATAAGATAATAAACTTTTAGTAATTATTTAAATAATTATATTGTAAATAAATACTAAGTAGTTACTTAAATTATTAAAAATTAAAAAATAATTAATTTTTAATAATAATGGCATGCAATATGCTAATAATATTACGTTTTCAACTATATTTCTAGTTTTTTCTAAATTTAAAATATCCATAATTTTTTGTACAAGTAAATATTAACATAAGTAAACAATAAGAAAGCCACTTTTTATTTTGAATTCAGATAATAACTAAAGTATTATTAAATTCTTTAAAAATAGTAATAATCATATAGGAATAATTATCAAAAGTATAATATTTAAAAAAATACTAATTTGAATGTGTTTAATAAAAGAAGTTTATAAAATTAAACTTAAGTGAACCTGAAATTTCTAAAAGCATTTAAAAAAAAAGTTTCCTTCGAGCCGGATTTGAACCAGCGACCTATGGATGTCTACAATTTTGACCCTCTACAGTCCACCGCTCTACCAACTGAGCTATCGAAGGTTAGTTCCACAAACGACTGTTATTGTTCTTCAGTTGAGATATTTGTCCTAACATTTAAATTCTGAATTAGAATTTTAATTATAAATATAATTGTATAAGCAAAGCAATGTCAACATTAGTGAAAGGCATTAAACATTATTATTATTATTATGACGGTAAGAATTTACCTTATCTAGTTAGTTATTGCATTCATGGAAGCAATATCAATTAAAATAATAATTATACATAGTAATGTGTAGCAAAACATGTTATTGTTATTAATTTGGTTTGATTATCAGCGGAAAATTGGTCCAAAAAATATTTAAAAAAAAACGTCAACAAAAGTAAAAAAATTATGGCCGCCCGAGCAGGGACTTGAACCCTGGACCCTTGGATTAAAAGTCCAATGCTCTACCGACTGAGCTACCCGGACATATGTGCAATGACTCTTACCAGTACTAGCATTTCAAAATTTATTCGCTACAAAATATCATTTATGAAAATTTTAAATTTACCGAAATGTATTAAGTTTTTCCATCGCTTTGCCCACCACCGTCTTCTTCAACGGCGTCGGACTCGTCCCCGGGGTACTATTGGCCGAATTGTGTTTTTCATCAGCCACAAGAGCCCTAGCCAGTTGCAAATCGCTCTCGTTCATATTTTCTTCTCACCACAGCAATATCACAAAACTAATTGCCACTTACAGCACACCTAACATTTGTTAAGATCAAGGTAAATGAAAAATCATAATCGCAAGTACGGCCCTGACCTAAATGATAAATAGGCGCGCTTTGTCTCGGTTAGGGTCAGGTTTCCTCTTAGGGTCACTTATTTTTGTTATTCTGTAATGGTTTGAAACCGATCGCGAAGAACTTTCGACAAGAACTGAGAGAACTTGTCTTTAACGAGTCGACTCTGGCATTTTTTCTTTTAAATTAAATCGAATTATAAAGATAAATTAATATAAAAATCTAGTCCATGCACCGCTCGGAGCGGTTGGGTTATGAAATTGTCGGTGAAAAACGTTTATTATCTCAGCGAGATGTTTTTCTGGTGGCGAGCCGGCGGGGGCCGGAATGCCCCACAAAAGCAGAATTTTATACATTCAAACTACTTATTATAGTCTGTGTACTTGATAAAAATAAGTAAAATGAAGTAAAAAACACATTTTTCATTAAAAAATCTAAATAAAAGTAAGAAAGGTAAAATAAATAAGTTACAATCCTAAAAAAATGTTGAAAAATACAGAAGCATGGTTAAAGCCAATTACTTTTTATACACATTGTATAAAACTAAATTAAGTGAATTACTGTAATAAAGAAACAAAAAAAAATTGGTTTAATAAATAACAAAATGTTTTGGTCTATCACGGTTGGTATGAGAATCCAGGTGAAAAATTGTTACACTTCTTAGACTCCGTGTATAATATAATATGTATATATTTTTTAAATGGTTTTAGTATTTATAATTGTGTTTCTTGTCTTTTTTTTTGTATTTTTTTTAATTTACAGTTTTAGTGACATTCTAAAGTGATAAGGTGAAAGTTGCCCCCCCTGCTCCTTCAGCTGTCAAAAATGGAGGAGTTACAGCTGTCAGAAACTTTACAACGATATTTTTCCGACGTTTTTCTTTGTTGCGACGAGGAAAAATCCGGAAGCGCCTCCCTGACCAAAACCGTCGAATTAATCAAGTCTGGCAACGTGCCCGAAGACATCATATCCCAAGTGAGTTGCTTTCTCTCCCTTTAACCTCACTTTTTGACGTTCCTGCTGTCAGATTTCAGAGATCTGTTGGGGCCAAAACACGACCAGTTTGTCTAGAAAGCAATTTTTTTCCGCTTTGAAATTAGTCGCGGCCTATCAGGCGAACATGCCCATAAATGCCGACGTAGTCACTTCCAATTTGGAGCTGCCTTTGCCGAGGTTTACTTGGAATAATCTGGAGAGTGATTCACAAGTTCCTGATTTAATCGAACTGAGAAACGATGCCAATTATGTTGACCAAATCGATGCGAACAGCACCGATTCGGAAGTTGATAGTGATACGCTTAGTATAGTTAGGAATGGATCGCCTGAAATTTCCAGTACGGCGTCTGATAGCCCTACACCAACGAATAGTGTCCAGGATAGGAGTTGGGCAATCGGGGGGGCTTGGCAGGGGTTGGTTTCAGAAGAACAAAGACAGCTTTTGGGTAAGTCTAAAGTAATGGAGTAAAATAATTAACCATTGTTTCGGTAAAATTAATCATTAAAAGCAAAACGATTTTTGTTTAATAAACAGTCAGGTGTCACGAAATTGATTAACAATTGAGTTATTAATGTGTTTGTATGACGGCATTTGCGCATACTTATTTCGAGCTTCGAAATAATCAATGTATTGTCAAATCAGACACATTACATTCATTTTTCCAAAAATGGGTACTTTTAATGAATTTTGTTTAATTAATTTAAATTACCAAACGGATACTTGCGACATATTACAACGCGTGGTTGCGGAGTACACATTATTTTTGGTTAATAAACAATTCGATAAACATGAAAATTAATGACTCGTTAAGTTATGAATTTAATTCATTTTGAAATGTTTCACATTTAGTATTGAAAAAGGAGATATTTATTTTTTGGTAAAAATATGTTCTTTCAACATAATTTTTAACTAATGACTAACTTTTTTCCGTCTTAATTTGTTTACGTCTTATGATTTCTAATAGTCTTACAATATAAAAGTTAGTTCAATAATGTTTTTTATATTTTCATTTAATTATACAGGCTGTTTCAGAACTCGCACCCTAGAGAAAAATACTGAATAAGATACCAGGAACATAGAAAGAATGCCGAAAAATTTTGACATTTATTTTTTGACGTTTGATATTTTTTATTATACAGTATGTCCCCGGATTGAGTTTACAAGGAGAAATTTTTTTTTATCTTTGATTTTACACCAAAACTGCACAGGAAAAACATTTTTTGCTTCATCTGAAACGAACAAATCTGTACTTAAAACTTCATTATTCTGATTCAGGAAAAGAAAAGTTAATTTTTCTCTTGATTTTCGACTTAAAATAATTTTTCTCTGCTTTTTAAGTCCTATCACATTGACGGTTTTATTTATTTGACAACTATATGTCACTTTGACAATTAATTTATTAATTAAATCATGATAGTTCTTGTTAAAAATGACTGGTTTTTATCTTTAAGCTGTTTCTTTGAGTTGCTGTTTATTAAAATTATGTTTTTCACAAACTTGCGTAAACTCATTTGTCAAAGTGACATCATTGTCAAAATAATAAAACCGCCAATGTGATAGGACTTAAAAAGCAGAGTAGATTATTCCAAAAGTCCAAAATCAAGAGAAAAATCAACTTTTCTTTCTACTGAGTAAACATGTAAAATTATTTTTGTAACTGAGATAAATATACAGGGCGCGCCAGAACTCGCGCCCCAGAGAAAAATGTCATATAAGGTAAGATACCAGGAACATGGAAAAAATGTTAAAAAAATTTTATCTATAAAAGTTTCGAAGTTATAAGGGTTTAAAGTTTGCACTTTGACTCTATTTATTTCTGTTGGAAAAATAATTTTCCAAGTTTTTTTGCTATAGACCATTAAATGAGGAAACAAGGAAGCTGTATGCTAAATTGTAACTCTGTTCAAAGTTATTTGTGGCTTTTATTGGCAAAATTTTTGTCCTTTTACTAAATAATTGTAAAAAAACTTATAAAGATCATCAGTATCATTAAATAGATAAGTCAAATGTCAAAATATTTTGTCAGATAGAATTTTTTAAACATTTTTTTCATGTTCCTGGTATCTTACCTTACTTGAAAATTTTCTCTGAGTTTTGGCGCATCCTCTAGAGTCAAAGTGCAAAATTTAAACCCCATAATTTTAAAATTTTCATAGATATAATTTTCTTAACAAATTTTCCATGTTCCTAATATCTTACCTTACTTGGCTTTTTTCTGTGTGGCGCAAGTTCTGAAACACCTGTATAATTATGTACTAAAAAATTAAAAATATGTAATATGCAATGCAAAAGGCTATTCTAATTTAATTTTTCTTATTGCTCTGTATTTCACATTTTTAATTAATGTATACACATTATGGTTAGAGTGGGGTAAAAGCTGGAGGTACACACCTAGGCGTGCATGCGTCCACTTTAAAAAAGAGGGGAGTTTTTGCAAGCAGTGGCGTGACGAATCTCAGTATTCGAGAATGGATGTCACTGCTCCGCGTCCCCTCTCATGTTTGCGCGCAATTAGGCTCCGCCCTGGTGTACTTCTAGATTCGACCTCATTGTAAATGTGTGTTAAAATTTTCCATTGGCAGGTACGGAGGAAGAGTCCAGCGACCGCCATAGCAGCGAAGAAGACACAGAAGTCAGCTCCGAAATCTGGACGATCAATCCCGAACAACGCGATTATTACACGAAACAATTCCGCTCCCTCCAACCGGACACCAACGCCTTACTTGCCGGTCCCGTTGCTCGCATGTTTTTCGAAAAATCCCGCCTTCCAGTTCACGAACTCCGCAAAATCTGGCAGCTGGCCGACGTGACCAAAGACGGCGCCCTCAGCCTCCAGGAATTCAACACGGCGATGCATCTAGTCGTCCTCCGACGCAACCACATCGAACTCCCTGACATCCTTCCTCCCACTCTCATCCCAGGCAATGAAACCCCCCTCTCCGTTAGCCCCGAGACCGAACCAATGCTCTCCCCCCAGACGAAAGACACCGCCAAAGAATGGACGAAATTCGTCGACAGTCCGACGAGTTCGGTGAGCTCGCCCGGCCCCAAACCGGTTAATTTCGATTTCCAAAAAATCACACTCGATAAAGACTCGAAAATCCTGCATCCGGTCCCTTTGAGAATCACTCCAGAGTGCCCTATGGCGCCCCCTGGCGAAGACTCTGTCGACAATGCTGAAGCGCACAGTCCCAAGAAATTCACCGATAATAGCGCCATCCAACGGCCACAGCCGAAAAAAATCAGCATACCGGGTCCAGGTGCCATCCCTCCACCCCCCACCACTCAAACGGGTGATGAAGGTCCAGTGAGTCTCCCCGTGTTTCCCCCGCCTAAAAAAGAAAAACCTCCTCCGCCTCCGCCCAGACCGTTCAAAAGTCACGGTCGAAGCTCCTCCCTCGATTTGAATAGGTTGAGTAAGTTGGGGGCTCCGCCCACAATCCCGCCCAGAGTTAGTCCCAATATCCAATCGAAGAAATTGATTAATCAGAGATCAGAAGGGGATGCCTTTGCCAATTTTGATAGTTTCGAAAAGTATGAAAATGTGGACGAGGGGATTTTTCCGGGTGATTTGTATGAAGCAGAGAGAAAGAAAATTTTTGCAAGGTTTACGGAATTGCCGAGGAAACACGGAGCGTTTGAAGTGTATAGAAAACCGGCGAAAAATCAAGACGGCGGCGACGAGAAGGCCAAATGGGAGTTGTTTCAGATGTTACAGGAGGAGAATACGGTGCTGTTGAGGATCTGCCAGGAATTGAGTCAGGAATTGGCCGATATTCGAGAGGAGAAAATGACGCTTAAGTTGAGATTAGAGAAGCAAATGAGTTTGGGATAGTTGGGATGAATCAAAAGAATGTTATTTAAGTTGAATCTCCAGGTATTATTAAGGCCGACAGTGCCATAAACTGCCTAAATTGTTCAATTAAGTTTATCATTGAGTGAAAGAATATTTTTTTAATATGACGTTATCAAATCAAATTTGAAAATCTTATGTATGTTGGTCAGAATTTAGGTTGTTTATATTATATATGGCTCTATTGCAGCAAAGTCTTATATTTTTTCGTGTAGCTATAGGAAGACTGTATTTTAAGATTAAATAAATACTTGAAAAATAATTAATAATTAAGGAAAAAACCGTCAATCTTCTTAATTATTATATTTGATTCCTAAAAGATAAAAAAAAACAATTAAAATTCCTATTCTCCAATACAAAACCGCAAACCCCACCCTTTACTTCTTCCCCCACCCCCACAACCCTTTGACAAACCCAGAAATCCCCGCCCCCTTTTCCTTCTTCTGCCCTCCTTCCAACTTTTCCGTTAAATCCGGCAACTCGACAAAATTCAATGCCAAATCATAAAATAGCGGTTTAGCAGGAATCGGTTCCATAGCCGGAGGCAGACTCACAATATTCGGATTTTTACTCAACAATTGAGGCTCTTCTCTAAACTCATCCAAACGCTCAATTAACGGTTTCTTACTCTTGTACACCTTTTGAGGAACTTGAATCTGATCTTCTTGCTGATCCAAAACACAGTTAGCCTGAGCTGTGATCTTATCAACATCGACGCTCTCTCTAACACTTTTTAATAAATCATCGAGTTCTTTGAGAAACTTATTTTTCGCTGGGAGTTTACTCAGGGCTTTGGAAGCAGAATCGTACAAAACGGCGGCTTCTTTGTAACGTTTTTGGGCCGCTTGCGTTTTCGCAAGGAAATAAACTCGCAATGCTTTGAAGGCTTGCAATTGTTGGTTGTAATAATCCTGAGCGAGTTTCACGTCTTTGATTGACTCATTCTGAGACAACTCGCCCGTTTGTTGGATTATTATGTCGAGTAAACGGACACAATCTTGTGATTTTCGAGTCTGTTGCATTAATAGTAAGTGTCTTTGGGACGTTCTCTCAACTCGAATTGATAACAAATAAGACAGCAAGAGTTGGTCCTGTTTTTCCGTCCTTACGACGTCTCGAGCTAGCGAAATAATGTCCCTCAAATCGATAAATAAATTTTCGAGAATTTTAATTTTCGCTTGATTATTTTCAGCATGAATCAAAGATTCATCCAAACCTTCAATACTCAAAAGAAACAGTCTGACTCGTTCGATTCTGACCGGGATTTTAATCCCAAACCATTGCACTTCGTGGAGAACCGCTTCAGTTTTTTGCTTGGATTGGGACACCAAAGCGTCGAAATTATCCAAAACCCCTTGACTCCTCAATTCTAATAAATCAACAGCTTTCTCATCCCCAATATTATAAGCGCAGTAACGCAAACTGGGAGTAATCTCCACCACCCTTTGTTTATAAGGCGCTTGCTCGTTTTCCGGCAAAGCTGAAGCGAGTTTCTCGTAAATCATTTGCGCCTTTTTCAGATTTTCAGTGGCTTTGAGCCAGATTTGGAGCTCAAATTGGAGACTACCCTGAATCCACGCCACGTAAGCTTGCGATTCGAGTTTAGTTCTGGCGTCGCACCGCTCCTGTTGGCATAATTCTTCCAGTTGGAGGGCGTAGACGCAAGCCTTGCGTAGTTTCTGAATCAGGTGAAACTTTTTCCTAGGTTCGGTATTGGCCTCTTGGCGTAGTTGCATAGCGTAAGCCCAGCAGCGCTCGGAGAGCATCAGAGGGATCTCCAGGTAGCGCTCGTCGGCTTTTTTGTCGATAATGTGGCCCTCTGTGACGTCGCGTTTTTTGAAGTGGCGTCGATCGCCTTGGGGCAGCTTGAGGACTTTACGGAGGCGCCGGATGCGGCGAGAACAGTAGCCTCGGTAGCGCTGGAAGTCGCCGTGCCGGAGGCCGTGCTGTTGTTGGGCGTTTTTGATCACTTTGAGGACTGGAAGTGTAACAGATGGTAGAAAAGTGAGGTTAGATTTGATAAAACTTACTTTCAAGAGTGAAGGGCGTTAAAGGATCCGGTTTTTTTGTGGATTTAGTGTCGTCGACGACGGGGTTTTCGGTGGGCTCTTCGGTGACCATTATGTAGACGATTTTAATTGATTTCGGATATTTTTTTTATATAGATTTGTCCTCACACTGATATAAATCCACAAATGTCAAAACGTGTATCACATTTATAGAAAACTGCAATTACAAACGGTAGTGTCATCTCTCATTTTGTATCTAAAATAACAGGATTCAGGTCACTGTAACTGATAAAAGTTATTTACTTGATTGATAACTTGATTATTATTATTATTAATTATTAATTGATCCACACGCATATAAATAATTAAAAAACAAACTTTAAGAGAATATGAAAATAGCATATTAAAGCCACATGAACAGGGTATCCGGCACATCCCCAAGTCCGACGACCAAAGACAAAAACGAAAGAAATTTTCAATTTTTTTTCTCGCGCTATTTCCTGCGCTTGCGTGAGAACTGTAGCACAGAAAAAAAAAATGTCAAAAAATCTCAAAACTAGAAACATAAAGCCTTAGAATAGTTAAAAAAAATCTAGATACGACTATTTTTCGATGAGATACAGTCTTTCAAAAATGACCAAAAAATTTAGAAAATTTGTTGTTATTTGTTCTTTTAATTGTGTTATAATTTTTTTTACTTTGGACAACATTGAGCTGTCCCGTGAGGACATGAGGCGAATGGGCGGGTTTATTAATTAAGTGCCTTTTTTTTTTTTTTTTTAAATAGATAGTTGCTTCCTCTATTTTTGCTCAATTTTTAATTCAAAAGTTACTATTTCAAATTATTTTTTTTGAAATTTGGTGTGTTAATCACTGTTTTGACGACTTTAGTACAATTGTTGGGGTAATTTGCGCCCACATCACTAGCACTTTATTGTTGTTGACTTACGAAAAATATTTGTGCTTGGCGCCATTTTAGGTTGCGTTAGGTGTCGCTCGCGTCGCGTCGTTCAAAAATGGCGTTGTGTGTGAGAGGTGAGTGATGGTGTTGACAAAAATCGAGCAATTTTGAAAATGTCCAACGCTCCATCGAGTCGTCGAAATGGTGCCCAAAAAATTCGGTTGACGAGTAAGTACAAGTTGGGTGCTTTTTCCGGAAAGTGCGGTCGAAAATACCGCATTGTCCAACTGTCAAACAATATGGCCTCATTGGGGGACCTCCCAAGTTAACAAAATTGTGATGTAACTTGTGTCTTTTCCAGTTCTTTGTGCGAGGAATTTGGTCCGGAAGGATTTGTTCCGTAAGTTGGTGCAAGGGTGGGTGTGGGAGTGGCGTTTTGATGCGTTTTTTCGCAGGACTTCCAGACCCTTTCGCGAAGATTTCAGTGGATGGTAGTGGACAATGTCATTCGACTGAGTTTGTTAAAAACACACTAGAGCCGAAATGGAACTCACACTACGATTTGTACATCGGGCGGAATGATTCCATTACGATTTCAGTGTGGAACCACCGCAAAGTCATCAAGAAGCAGGGGAGCGGGTTCTTGGGCTGCGTCCGGATTGTCAATTCGCACATCCAGAGGCTGAGAGACACCGGATGTGAGTCCCAAATTAGCGATAACGGCAATAAGACCCGATTTTTCGAATTATCAATTATCTCAAATGAGCTATTGTTGCACTCATTGAAATTTTCTACAACATCTGTTGTCACAACCCATTAAAGATAATTCGAGCCGGCGATTCTAAATTAAAATTTAATTGAGAAAGTTGAGTCGTCGCCACACTCATTTCATTATTTCTATTATTCCGCACAGAGGCTAATTTTTATGTTTATTTTTCCTGATTCAAGGTAAAACTGCAATTTAAAATATTAAACGTGCATCGATTTTGTCGAGGTAAAACCTCCTTTTCGTCGCAAAATCGATGGAAAAAATCAACGTGTAGTTAGCGGGCCGTAACGACTCGATTTCCAACCAATGTCACACCGGAAAAGGATTTTAATAAAAATAAATTACTTTCAATTCGATGCGTGTCATGTAATAACGGTTTGCGTAACTATTGTGTAAAAAAAATCATTTTTTTTTTGGTATTACGCTTTGGAGTAGGTACTTTGAAAGAGAATGAATGTGATGAATAATGTTTTATTTATTTCACTGTTGGTAGTATGAAACTCGGGCTCTTGTCATCAACAGGAAGTGTAAATCGAGCCAATCAATCAATTTGAAATCCATATTAAGCGACGAGGCAATGACGATTTTGCCGATATATGGGGTGTTTAATAAGTAATTGACGCAATTGGAAAGGTTAAGGATTAAAAACCACAACGTGATAATAAAAATTGGGACTTGAGACATCTCATTTAACAGTTTTCATGAATAAGTGACAATATGACGATCAAGTGTTTTTAAACATTTTTTTTTAAATTTTATTTTAAAAAAATTAAAATTGGTAACAAAAAAATTGGAGTTTTTTCAACGCTTTTGTCTTGAAATAATATAAAATCGCAATTTTGAAAGAGAAACTCAAATTTGTACACTACAAACTTTAAATTCTTGACTTTTTTGCAATCAGAATAGTGAATTTGACCAATTCTTTTATTATAAATTATTTTTTTATAATTTTTTCGTCATTAAGTTTAAATTACCTAAAAATAAAAGCCTCATAATTTCAATATTGTATCTCGTGTTTTGATAAGACAGTTCTCAATAACTTGGCGGTTTGCATTTCTTATAATAATATCATACCTATTTCTGCAAGCTTTGTCATCTTTACATCGTAGCAAAATATGTAATATCTAATGTTATAATTTATCACACAGATGACATTTGCGATAAAGTTGTTTGCGAAGCTGTTACCTTATTTAGGCCAAATTGTAATGCAAAAATAGCAAAACTTGTAATATAACATTTTTCACGTAATAAACAGTCGTTATAAGTAATTAAATAATCAACAACAGGTGTTTTGGTATTAGCTGCTAACTGTGATTTTTTACTATTTGTAAAGAATTTTAACACGAATTAAGGACGTTAATAAACCGAATTTTATTTTTATTGCGGATGTTTTAATAATTGTTTTATTCAACAACAAAGATTTAGTTTACATTAAGAAGGGTGCTCATTAATAATTAGTAATTACTTGGGACTAATTTAATAATAATCAATAATAATGGATAATAATCCCATCTTCTTGTGTGACTTATTTAGCTATAGAATATCAATGTTATGCATATTTTTATCTTTTATTACATTGTTTAACTTGTCAATATTATCACCATAAACAAATAAAAGGAATTTTTCATTAAAAAAATAAGCACAATGACATACCGTATCTACATCGTTTGTAAAATTATTAAAAGTCTCACATTTTTGCGTGTTGCTCATGAATCATTAAAATACAAGAGAAGCAAAAAATTGACATCCTAGCACGTGTGTGTGTGTGTGTGTGTATGTGACACAGTTATGTAACACGGAAATCGATCTGATCCATTTCCGTTTATCATATCTTCTGTTTTTAAAAAGCGAATTTTTCGCATTTCCGCTCACTTTCTACCATACACAGTACCGTAACCGTTATTTCTATTACTCAACCATATGTCGCATCATGTGTGCAGTACCGTAACGATTCAATTTCTAGATCAATGTTTGGATTTGGGGAAGGCTTGTCCAGCCGACAGCGAACCTGTTAAAGGTCAAATAATCATCTCGTTGTTATCGCGCGATGGTCCTTGTAGCGGTACGCCACTGGCCGTTGTCGGCCCTCAAGGAGAACTTCGAGGGCCGGCCGATCGTGATTCTTCACCCTCCAATAACGATGATTTGCCTCCTGGTTGGGAGGAGAGGAGGACGGACAACGGGAGGCCCTACTACGTTAATCACCTTACTAGATCTACACAATGGATTAAACCGCAATCGACGAATAAGGCAAGAAGGAGGTCCACACACCAAAACGAGAATAATAACACCAATAATGAAAATACGATAGGGGGCACTCAGGTATAACAATTGACAATTTTATGTGTTAATTAATTAATAAAATTGTGACAGATGGGCGTACCGGAAATATTAAACAATAACACAGGGGAGACTTTAACCCCCAGTTCGAGTACATCACCGGTGTCGCCTGTGGTCAGTCCACAAAAAACCACATCCACGCCTCAAACAACCGACAATAGAAACAATTTTATAACGTTATCGCCAACTTCGACGTCTGTAGTTTCGGCCCCTAATAACATCAGTTGTAACGTCCCTAATGGGGAAAATGCGAACATTGTGAGTCCCCAGATAGGGCAAAGGGCTATCGTACGTGGCGAAAGGAGGCAGAGGAGTACGGAGGAAAGGCGAGACGGGAGTAGTAGGAGGAGGTCAGGGAGGAACAACAGGAATTCGGGGGGGACGGCGCAAGGGCCAGTGACGCAAAACAGCAAGCTGGATTTGCCTCCCGGTTATGGTTTGTTGATTTATCTAATTAAAAATGAAAAATTAAAAAAATGAATTACAGAGTTGAGAACAACTCAACAGGGACAGGTGTACTTCTACCACATTCCCACCGGTGTATCAACGTGGCACGACCCTCGAATACCCAAAGATTTAGCTCCATTGAGTCTGGCTTTGGACCATTTGGGTCCTCTACCTCCCGGTTGGGAGATGCGTCAAACAGCCTCAGGACGGGTATTAACTCCCCACGACTCTTAAATCTTTTATTATTATTATTTTTTTGATAGATATATTTTGTTGACCACAACAACCGGACGACTCAATTCACCGATCCCCGTCTCAACACTCAAATACTCAATAATATTTTGCGCAGAGCTAGCGCCACTTCAACGACAACTCCCACAACTAGAACAACACCTACTACGACAACAGCAAGTACAACATCAGCTTCAACTTCGACGACAACGGTTACGACAACGACAACAACTGCTGCACCTCAAAACCCAGCACCGCTTTCACCCAGACCGAGGATAGTTGAGGAGCTTCCTCAAGGTCTTCTCAACGATTGCGATCATTTACCGAAATACCGGCGCGATTTAGTTGCGAAATTGAAGACTTTGAGGGCGGAATTGACGGCATTACAGCCGCAAAGTGGTCATTGTAGACTTGAAGTTTCGCGAAATGAAGTGTTTGAAGAGAGTTATAGACTTATAATGAAAATGCGACCGAAAGATATGCGTAAAAGACTGATGGTGAAGTTTAAGGGTGAGGAAGGGTTGGATTACGGGGGAGTTGCACGCGAGTGGTTGCATTTATTATCGCGGGAAATGTTGAATCCTCAATACGGGTTGTTTCAGTACAGTCGCGATGATCATTATACGTTGCAGATTAATCCGGATTCGGCGGTAAATCCGGAACATTTGTCGTATTTTCATTTTGTTGGGAGGATTTTGGGGATTGCAGTGTTTCATAATCATCAATTGGAGGGAGGGTTTACGTTGCCGTTTTATAAACAGTTGCTAAATAAACCAATCACGTTGCAAGATATCGAAGGGGTGGATCCCGAACTGCACAGGAGTCTCACCTGGATGCTGTATGTATTTTAATAAATCAAACACAAGTTTTTAATTGATTTTTTTTTAATAGCGAGAATAACATCGACGGCGTTCTTGACACCACCTTCTCCGTCGAGAACAACAGTTTCGGTATTATTAAAGTCCACGAACTGAAACCGAGCGGCGCCACCATTCCAGTAACCGAAGACAACAAACGCGAATACGTTAAACTTTACGTAAATTATCGTTTTATGCGCGGTATTGAGCAACAATTCCTCGCACTTCAGAAAGGTTTCACCGAACTGATTCCTCCCTCTCTTCTTCGAGCTTTTGACGAACGCGAACTAGAACTAGTGATAAGCGGAATCGGTTCTATAGACATCGCCGATTGGCGTAGTCACACGCGACTCAAACACTGTACACAGGAAACCCCAGTTGTTCAATGGTTTTGGCAAGTGGTGGAGTCGTATTCGGAGGAGATGAGGGCGAGGTTGTTGCAGTTTGTTACAGGGTCGTCTCGAGTGCCCCTTCAAGGTTTTAAGGCTTTGCAAGGGAGTACGGGAGCGGCGGGACCTAGGCTTTTTACTATACACTGTATAGATTGTTCACCGCAGAATTTGCCTAAAGCACATACTTGTTTTAATAGAATTGATATTCCTCCCTATGATAGTTATCAGACGTTGGCCGATAAGTTGACACAGGCTGTGGAGGAAACGTGCGGGTTTGCCGTGGAGTGATAATAGTGAAACAAGTTGTTATTTTAAACAACTTTGAAATTGTTTTTCGCATATCATTGGTCTTGGGAAAGACTGAAGAGTGCCTTGCTTAGCTCTCACGGTTCAAAAGTGCCTAAAGCTAGTCATTTCACGCTCGTAGCTCGCTTTAATACCAAATTTGTTTTCCGAAAATCCAACACGTTGGTGATAGTAAATGCCTAAATTGATGGCCAAAAGTGCTTTAAATCAACAATAAAGATTCTATTGTAGCTATTGTTAATTAATGATGATGTTTATCTCAGTAAAAAAGACAAATATATTTTTATGTAGTTTCCTCGGAGGAAATGGAGTATTTGTTTTGTGATTCTTTTTCTGTAAATATTTCATACACGCGAACTGATTTATGAGTAGGTTTAATGAGTTGATAAGCGGTATTGTGATTTTTTTCTATAATTTATCCATTTGTACATAGTTTTAACTTTTGCACCCTTTGTTATCTACTTTGTAAATTTTTTTCTATTTTAAAATAAGTATACACAAAGCAATAATGTAATGTTATAGTGATAAACGAGTTTTTCAACAGCACTTGATTGTATCACAATGATATTTTTTAAGTTACAATTTAGTTTTTTCATGATCACTGCAAGAATACTCCTCGATGTACATAATTTTTGGTTGGTTTTGTTCCCTTTCTCAATACGTCTTGTTCATTTTTAGTGATAATTTATTTGTGGTGTTTATGTTAAGATTTATTTGTATATTGCATCCAGATGAATATATTTTAAACTATTTTATAATCGGGAAATTTTACTACGTCCTATGTCCATTAAACAAAAGGAAAAATAAGGTGCGACGACTTGATTTCGCTTTTTTATTACGTGTTAAATGGCTTTGGTAACTAAAAAAACAACTATACAACAACGCAACAGTATTAATGATTACAAAACAAAACAAACTGATTTATGCTAATGACTATACTACACAGAAACAGTGTTATTAATTATTATAACTATTTACAATCTCAAAATGGCCATTCAGTCGCCATTTTGAGCAACCCGATTGAAAATTCCCGAACTTGTTTTATCTTCGCACAACCAAAAAACATAAAATTAATGTAAACAAACTACTCGCTAATTTATGACTCGAGGATTTAACTATTTTGACGTGATTGCTCATTGTTGTTGATGTCATGTGATCATGATCATGATCGTTTTCATGATTATGATCGTGATAGTCGGCTTGTGGCTCCGGTTCAGGACTCGGAAGTGGCTCTGGTGTCATTCTACTCTCATTATGAAACATCCTTTCGCCCCTGTTTAAATCATAATTGAAATTATCATCATATAAGTAATTTTTCCCACCCACGAAAGCTGTTATCAGTCTAAAATTATACTCGCTTAAATCAAACTCATCATAAATAAATCTATTGAGCCGGTTCATAAGCACTGTCAAGTTTCCACTTGTATCCAACGTTAGAGAGTTGGGCCACTCGAGGTGTTTGCTGTCTTGGGCAATTAATTTTTGGCCCGATTGGAATGGAGTGCGACTGTCCCATCTACCAACAGCGTTGTTGCCCAATAGGGTGTAGTAGAGAATCCCCTGGTTGTCCATAACCATCCCCACCGACTGTGACGACTTCAACCCCAAGTCTTTGATGGACGTGTTGGAAGAGTTGCGGAGGCTTGAAGTGTTGATAGAGTAGAGGTGGAGGCTTGACAGGGGGCTGAAGTAAACTTCCCGGTCTTCATTGACTACGAGTTTGTCATCGTTTGTGTGAATTTTGGGGCCTAAGGCAATGCCGGCGATGTTGATGGGGGCCGAGATGGGGACACCGTTGACGGAAAAAAGGGTGGCGGAGCGGTCGGCCGACATGGTTTGGGAGCGGATTTTCCACGAACGGTTCTCTTTCACCGAGAAGACGATTATTCCTGAAAAAAAAAATAAAAACTGTGATGACATAATAAAAAATAAAAATGCCACTCCTTTGTTGAAATATGAATGGAAAATGTTATAAATAATAAATTTGTGTGTCTTATGTCATGTAGTGGGAGTGGTCGGTAACAAATTGGGAACACTAGAAGAAAAAAGTGTGAATTATATTTTTACAGATTTCTTCATTCTTTTGTAATACAATTACAATTGTTTTGCTCATTTTTTATTTATTTATCTGTTATTCAACCAACCGCAATGCTATAATGTTTACTACAACGTTAATTAGTTTTTTACGACTTATTGTTTATACGTAAAAATTTTGAGGACAGAACAATATAATAAAATTAAGAAAATGTCAAAGTTTACGTATTTTCCTAATGGTAATTTATGGTAAATAAAGCAGTTTGCTAAATGTATTTGTAGAAAAACATCTTATTTCACAAAAAATACACAGAAACATACTTTTTTTAGAAGTAATATAACAAAATTTAAATTATCTTATTCACTCCTAATTTTTAATGATGTTTAATGTTACTATCCTCATTTATTAATCAATTTAATTTTAAATGAACATAACAATCATATTAAGTGGTTATATTTGTTCGGACAATAGTAAAAAGGAACACTTGATTAACTAAAAGGTCCTTAAAGAAGAACCAACAATTTTTTGCAACTGTCGTTTTACATTATTCTTCCATATTCTATACTCATGTCAGTGACTTTTGCCGTACTTGTAATTGTTAAAACTGTGCTCGTCCCGTATCTCTTGAATATTAACAATGCCGAAACACAGTTTTACTGTTACGTTGCAATCGTAGTTCGTGATTTTTTTATTAAAAAGTTTGAAATTTACGGATGTTTCTACTAATTTCGTAGATTGTGACTCATACTTTAATTACTTTCAGTTTAATATTTGACTTGACATTTACTTTAACATCCTTTTATTTTCACATAATTTATGCGTTATGTATCTCTACATCAAAATTTGCCAACAAAGTAAATAAGTTTGAATTTTGTACTTTTTTTTATAAATACAGGGTGTTTGAAAATTGGCCTACCATTACTTACTCAGAATATAAGAAAAATGTTGAAAAAATGCTTAAGGTCATATTTTACAAAATCTGAAGCTACAAACTTACTTTGGTAAGTTTTTCAATTCACATTTTCTCAATTTTTTTTTCTCAACTTATCGTTTGATATATTAATGATGAATAAATGTTGATGCATCTGCTGCTTATTTTTGCATCTAGCAATATGTTATACTAACGTTTGCAGATATATGACAACACTGTGTAATATTTTTTTCTGTCGTCTTGGTTTTCCCTAAGAAACGGTTTGTGGGCTTTTAGGAATAATCAATTTTTACTGTATTTACAACGCTGTCAGATCCATTTTTTAATCGGAGTACGTTTATTACCAACTTAAATGGTAATTTTTTTTAAATTATTTTTATTTTATATGTAAATATTTTGCTACCGCCTTTCATGATGTTTTTTGAGGGTTTCGTATACAGTGTGTCTCCGTACAGATGAAATGACTCTTGCAAAAGATAAAAAATTCTTGATTTAAATTTTATTTTTTTTGAGTTCAGGCTTGTTTGGTTAAAGACTAATTTCTAACGCAATTTTAATTTTGAAAAATCAAGTACGAGTATGTCTTGGAAATTTTCAAAAAACTTATTTTACTGTAAAGTGCTTTTTATGTGGTAAATACCACAAAAAGTTATGAAGAAAAGTTATTTGGAATCAACATCTCGGCCTTTACACCAAATTACAAAATTATTGGCCAACTATGATTTTTTTATGTTTATTTCACACAAAGAATTTTTTTAACAGTTTTTTAATTATATTTTGAAAAAAAAAATGAAAAATTATAGTTGGCCGATGTTTTTGAAATTTGGTGGGTATAGGGGCCTAAACACCTTTTTTTTGCCACATAAAAGGCACTTACAGAAAAATAGTATTTTTTGAAATTTTCCAAGGGATACTTGATTTTTCAAAACTTAGAAATTAGTCGTTAACCAAGCAGAGCTAAACCCCAAAAAATTAAAATTTTAATCGAGAATTGTTTATATTTTACAAAAGTCGTTTCACATATCTGGAGAAACACTGTATAGCTATTATGGTATAATATCCTAATGTACTTCTTTAATTAATGAGTAATTAAAGAACGTAATTACGATATAATTATTGCTTGCAGTTTTTGCACGAAACTTTAGCCTCAAGCCACTGATTGTAATTTATATTTATTGTTTGTCTGTTTACTGTAATTGGAATTGCAGTTTCATAATTGCATAAAGGTTAAATTTACTACAACTTCTCATTTTACAACTTTTATATCTTTGGAAAATTACGTATTACGGTTACAGCTGTTGGCTGCTTTATTTAATTTGTTTATATTCTCAATTAAAATAATTAAAATTAAAAAAAACAAGCTTAATTGTGAGCAATTTTAATGAAAATCACACATAAATATAAGAGAAGCATTTGATGGGTTTATATTTGTTAATAATGCTAAATTAATTAGCTAATGTATAATTTTTGGACTTTGTTGTTTTTTTACCTGGATCAGTGGCGCTATTATCCGTAATATAGGCAAACCCCCCGTCGGTGTCATCCACAACAATATCGTATAAAAAACTCCCGTTTCTCGCCGCCACCTCCTCCGGGAAATTGAACACCGTGGTCACCCTTCCCTCCCTTAACCCAAACACTACCAACTTGGGTCCGCACTTCACTATGGGTTCCATCAACGTTTGCACTCTTCCTCCATCAATAATCCACACTTGGCCTTTGGTGTCAATCTCCACGTTTTGCACATTTTGCAAATTGTTACAATCCCCCCCGATTCGGTTCATCTCCCAGGAGGGGAAGGGCTCCAAGGGCGGCGCCGTGTCCTGTGTGGGCCCAGCTTTGATCCTTGCTAGCGTCGCTGGTACTCCCTTCTTCATCCTGGGGAGCGTCAAGTAGTAGTAATCCTCGAAGTACTTAATCCCGGAAACGATGGTATTCTCCGGGATGTAGTCTCCGGTGGCGGTGGCCGTCTTGAGGGTGTCCTCGTCCGGCCAAGTGAAATTGAGGTACTTCCATTGTCGGATGACGTAAAATTTGCTCGTTTGAGTGTGGATTGAGGTGAAAAAGGTGAACAGGAGGAAGGTGAGAGTGTTCATTGCGAGTGGTCAAGTTCAACTAAGAGTACTTTGAGTGTGCAACGGTTTTATATGAGGGGACTTGCTAATAGAAGTGAGTCAGTTGAGTGACGCATTTTGACTACTGATGGGTCTTAAGAAGTTAAAGCATTTTTGATCAAAAATCGGAAAAGAGAAGGGACAATGGGTGTGGGTATGCACGATTGGGATCAAGCACGATTTACATTTTTTGATTCGGTATCAAATTGTTTTTTTTATCTTCAATTGGTTGTTAGATCGTCTTTAAACTGGTTTGGTGTGTTTTATTTATTACGCTTGAGTTACTGCATAGATAAATAAAACTTGGCCAGTGGAAAGTTTGTTTGAAATTTTCTGGAGGCTATCGGCTTTGTTGTTGTTGGATAAGAATGCTCTGGTATCTCTTTATCGGTCGATAGATCATTGTGGTGCTTGATAGACCACTTTCTAAGAGGATTACAAGAGGAAGTAATTACTGTTCGTGGGATTTGTGGGAAAAATCGGGCAAAAAATCGAAATACTGAATTTTTTTCTAAATTTTTTGTATAGGCTCGAAACAAATAATTTTACAGTTTTGAATAAAAAATCAAATAATAGGATTGCAAAAGTGAAAACTCATTGCTTATATAATAAACAACAAAAAAACCAAACAAGACTAGAAAAGATGAAAAAAGTTTGACATAAATTACGTTCAAAAACGAGGGACCGTTAACTTGAAAATAATGTCTGTATAAATAATTCCAATTTCAAAAAAAAATCGAAATTCTAGTAATTTCAATAAAAATCCAACGAAATTTTAGTAATTCTTATAATTCCAAGTTAATTCCCGTAATTCTAACTTAATTCCGATAGTTCTAAGAAAATCAATAACGTAATTTGAAAAAGACATTATCTCCTATAATTTCAAAAAAAAAACAATTCTAGTTTTTCACAAATAATGCCATTAATACCAAAAAAATCCACCGAAAACCTTGTAATTTCACTAATTTATCGTAATTCTATTGTGTGCAGATTAATTTCTACAATTCAAAATTAATTTCTGTAATTCCAACTTCATTTTGTTAATCTACCATAATTCCCACAAGAATTCCAGAAAGATTCGAGAAAATCACAAATAATTTCAGTACTTAATTCTAAAAAGATTTTACCAAAATTAATAATAATTAATTAATAATCCGTCGTAATTCTATTGTTTTCAGATTAATTCCTTTAACTCCAAATTAATTCAACTTTAATTTCTGTAATTCCAACTTAATTTTTGTAATTACACAATAAATTCAATATTTAACGTAATTTTGAACACATTATTATCTCTGATTATTCCAAAAAGAATTCCAGTAATTCAGAAATAATACCAATAATTCACAAATAATGCCAATAATTCCAAAATAAATCCAGTAATTCTAAACAATTTAAATAAATTTCAAGCAATTTTGCTTGAATTCCAAAAATTTGTACAACTCATTCATTAACGGTTCCTCGTGTAAAAGCGAAGAAATTGTGATTAGAAATAGAAGAGTTGTAGAATAACAGAAAAAAAGAATAAAGCTGAGTAAAATTAAAAAGTGTTACCGAAGATACAAAATTGTTGAACTACAGTAAAAAAAAAATTTGATATTTTTTTTCTTTTGGTTCATTCAAGCACAAATGAAATTAAAACCGAATAAATAGCTTTCTCATCTTTAGTTGTAGCCTTCAAACCCGCATAATTTGTATAAAAATATTTGCTTTTTGTTGCTAAATAGTGAAACATCAACTTGAAACGCGTTAGGTACTTAATTATAATTAGCGAAATTGTTTTGTGAAAACAGTCGCAAAAACGGGAATTTGAGATAAAAGCCAGGATGTGTACCCAATTTTACGAATTCACTGATTACACCGATAAATAAGCACAGAGAGCACAAAATTATTACATTTTACATTTTTATGATTGGTAAACAGAGCAGAACTGGCGATGACATTGACAAGAATAACGTTTCACACATTTTCAATTTTCTTTTCGTCACTGTTATCCTCTTATGTCTATATGTTTATTTCTTACATAAGTGAGGATAAGATGGTTGCGTCCTTGTCATTTATGTTACTGTTTATTTTTATTTACATTTTAATTCCTCAACCTTCGTAGCTTTGTTCAAGACAATATGAGGTTGAGGCTATCATTAAACTTGACTTCATTTCAGAGAGAAAAGTTAAAGTTACTCGCAAAAATTTGTCTATAAAATTTGTTTATAAATAAGAGTGAATCACGAATTAATTAGTGATTAAGCGATGGTTTCAAGGTGACAACGAACCAGGAATATCAATTTTATACCCATTTATTGATTTGTAAAAACATTTTGTTGCACTAGGTTGGCACGCTTTTGTTGTATCATCTTTACAATAAATAAATTTCATTATTGACTCATTGTTTACTTTCCATTAATACAGTCATGACAATGTTATTATTATTCCAACATAGTGTTTGCTGTTTGTGTAAAAAATAAGCTAGCACTCTTTAAAGCACAAAGATTTTATCATCTCTTATATAACATTTCGACTTGTAGCAATAAATAATTCTTTTTATCAATTGGCGTTGGTGTTCTCACATTAGCAACTTTAGGTAGTTTTTCTTAAGGCGCCAGTCAATTATTTGAAAAAATCTCTTAGAATACGTAACAATCTTAAGAAGTGTGTAGGTTGAACAATAAACGTATAGGTCACAGAGAATTGACTGTCAACTCGTTCCATATAAAAGGAAATTGAACTATAAATTCTAGTAAAAGTACTTTTCGTTAAACGAGTGGAGGAATTAAGTCATGGTTGTGGGCAGGCATATTTCGTGATTGCGATAATTGTTTGTTTAAATTTTTACTATTATTAAATAATTATTTGGCTGTAATGAGATGGGAAGGTTGTTGGAATGTGGAAACTTGTTAGTTATTCAAAGCTGTGGGGTTTTACACGCACTTTATACCCATTATTGTAATTTTACATTTTTGTAACAAATTTATTCGCAGCTTTAACAATACAATTTAAATAAAAAAGTTAACAGATAAATATTACTGTGTTAAAAAAATAAACAAAAATAAACCAAGCGCACACAATAATAAACATTTAAAATGAGTTATTAGGCAACACATAAAACATTCAAATGTTGAATTTTGTCTTTTTTATTGCATAGAAATACATTGAAAAGACTTTCCAATGAGTAATTCATTATCGTCTTTTTATAAGTAGAACACGTTTTAGCAGTATCATCATTTTTATTAATTTTCTCGAAATTTCGAACAAAAATACTTTTCATTTTATTTTTGTATTTCTTTGTACTGTTTTTTTTTTTTGTATAAACCTTAAGTAAAATGAACGTATAACTAAAAATACATTACCAAACAAGCAAAAATTTTCTCACGTTTAGAAAAAAAAAAGGTTTTTTAATCACTTGGCTCTGAAAATTGATCACTAGAATAGCATTTTTAAAACACGTATTATTATTGCGCATTGAAATGTTATTCACTGCGAAAATGCAATTGCGGCGCATATATTATTTATAAATAAAACTTAATTAATGTTATTAAATCTTGATTGTTTAGCAAATTAGTTTAACAAAAATACAAAAATATTATATCTAAATGTCATGTAGGATATTGAATTTAGAATATAAATGCTTTAGTACATAAAAAATTATTTTTTTTATACTCAGAATAGATTAAATACTACAACTTTAGAAGCAACTTTTTTGCGATTCAGTTGTTTTTTTTATCTAACATTTATTTTTTATTCTCGTCTTCATATTATAGTTAACGCATTTTGTTATTTTTTACTTTTCAATTTTGTTTTGTTTTTTACAATTTTTCTTGTTTTTGTCTTTGTCGAATCTTTAAATTTTCTTTTTTTTGGATTTTTATTTGTTTTTTTATTTGTCTTTCTTTTAAAGCAATTTTTTGCTTTTTTATAGTCGTTACAAGTACAAACGGCTTTTTTCTTTTTTAATTTGTTTTTTCTTCAACAATTAATTTTTCATTTGTACTCCTATTATTTTCTGAATTTTATTCTGGCGCTAATTACTGCTACGTGCATAAAAAATAATACGGAAATAAATATGAGAAGCAAAAAAAAAACTACAAAAATAAATGCGAATTTTAAAACTAAGCTATTCATAGAGATAAATTAACATTAAAGGAACTGTAAATTAAAATAACATTAAGTTATTATTCAAATGTAAAAAAATGTATTAAATTGTATACAAGACGAATACAAATTTAAAGATAAAATTAGAAAATACAAATTAGAAGTTAAATGTTTAAATCTTTTTTAAGATTTGAAAGAAAAATATTGAAAACTTACTAAAGTAGTAGAAGGCGGCAGAGGAAGAGAAAAAAGAAAATAAAAGCAATACTAATGAAAAAAATAAAAATAATACTCCTAACTAAGAATAGTGAAAAATATTCTAAAATTTCCATTTTTGTTTAAATTGGTTTAAAAGCAGGTTTGCCAAGTTGAGCTTAACCGCACCATCCTTTTATTATTATTTTCACTGGTTTACATTTCGCAATTTTAAACACATTTCTGTCAATAATTTCGCAAAAAAATGATATGAAATCTCGCAACTGTAATGAAAATACGTCCCACATTTTGACAAGGTTATTTCCAATTCCCTGGGTTGGAACATATCCTGCATAATATTTAACCAAATCGGTGACATTTTGTCCTAGATTTGCCCTCAAATAAATTACCAGTACTTAAAAATTATTTAAACACGCAATGCGCAATTATTGCGATTCCTGCTGTGGGGTTTAATTGGTTGCCTATGTCGGAAAAAAATTTCTGCAGTAACCTAATTTCCGTCCTGCTAAAATTTTATTTTTAGGAGAAAAAATTGGATATGTAATCGTGGTGACATTAAATAAATTGAATAAATAATGATGATAATTAATTCTTGCATAATGAGTGAGTCAGCATCACCTCGAACCCAACACCGGATTACCGTTAAAAATCGTTAAGGATTTTCACAATGATCCATTATAGCCCAAAGGCACCCATCGATGGTCGTTCATGGTTCGCGATGACGTCACAAATGTAATGCCGCAAAGTCGGTGGCTGTAGAGGTGGCCACCACGTTTTCTGCTCCTATACTTAGCA